ATCTCTTTTAGAACGGGAGGTACCCTCTTGGCTGCTACCGCGACCGGCGCGTGCAACACCACCGGTTCCACCGGGTGCACCCGATTGCAATACCATCGCGCGGATTCTTCTCTGTGCCGACTGTAAGAAAACAGAAAGTATTTATATCCATATCACTATTTTAAATCTCACACTTTATATCTTTTCTGATGCGCTAGTAGCTTGTTATTTCTTTTAATGGATTTAAGAAAAAATAATTATCGTATTTAATTATTGTGATATAAGAGTACGAGTGTACGAGATAAGATAATTTATATATTTCATAACAGATATCTAATATATTTATCCATTTATTTATAAAAATTATGTAAAAAATTAGTTTCCTTACCTGAACGGAGAAGAAGGGACCGATTATATGGACAGTTGTTTCCTCTTCTGCTGAAGGAGGAGTCGCTTGCTGCTCTGACAATTTAATAACGCTACCAGTTACGCGCTGTAATTCCCTCACGTTTTGACCACCTTTGCCAATGATTCGGCCGACCTGAGTACTGGGTACGAGGATCTCGATGGTCAGTCTAACATCTTCGGTACCGGCGACGTATCCCTCTTCCCGCATCTTCTCAAAGATCAAATACTGGGCCTGAAATAGCAATTTTTGATAATGTAAAAATATTTAAAAATGCAATAAAATTATATTGCATTGCAAAATAGAGCTTGACATTTAAATTATTATTTTAAAAAATGTAAAAATATAAAAATTAAATCCCTCCGTTATCTTGGAGAAAATTCTTCAGTTATCAGAAGCGAATTAATATAAAACGAAAAGAAAAAAAAAAAAGATGTCGAAGGGTTAAACGGGGCCGATTCTCACATATTTCGTTTGGCGAGATCGGTACGGGGCCCTTTCTTTAATATTCCTGCTGATTCAAGCTGATGCATAGAAGACAACATCCTCCCAAAATACAGCAGGGTAACCGCGAACACTTTTACGGACTTTAAGATTGTGTACAATTTTTCTCGTCAGCGACTGGATTTGAACCCGGGACCTTCACAACGGTAGACCGACGCGATACTTATCTGCCAATATGGCATCGACATTATATGGACAGTAAAACAGACTTCGGATACTATTGTAGTATTATTAGCAAAAAGTCACGGTTTTATAGCTCACATATTTAAAATATGTTCATTTTAATTATAACAAACAGATCTGACAGAGCTGCCGATATAAATATTCGCGTGTAAAACTGAAGAAATCATAAAATAAAAAATTATGAATTTCGTTTGCTTAATAGATCAAGGAACAACGAGGACAGTTATCGCACTTACCTTCCACTGAGATTCCGGAGAGCCGACGATGGTGACCTTCCTCTCAGTCTGTTGCTCAGCCGGCTTATCTTGTTCAAGAGGAGCGATCTTTACGCTCGCGCCGGAGAACCTGATTATGTTACGGATATGGGAGCCTTTGGTGCCGATGATGGCGCCGACACTGTTGTTGGGAATGTAGAGGAAAGTCGTCTCCTGGGTATCGCTGGCGGGGACGCCCTGTTGAGTAGGCAGGCTGCTCTGGTAGGGATATGGGGCGGGTCCAGAACCATAGAGGCCGGGACCACGGGAGCTGTAGCCCATGCCGGCGGTGGACATCATGGCCATCGGGTGCAGGCCGGGGAACATCATGCTTTGGGGCTGGCGAGAACAATCATCATATCGATTAGAAGCTTCGTCGCGTTGCGCAACGGCATCTCTGACGCAATCGATGTATTTTACTTGCGCCAAATCTCAACGAGGTTGACACAATCAAACGTTTCTAGATTAACTGAAAGCTTGACGAAAGAGTTTACTCTTGCTACTTTATATATATATATATATAATTTCTGATAAGTAAATATTAAATCTAAAATTTTTAACAGAACCTTTCGAGACTCGATTTTCATGTAATAGGGTCACTTACAAGTCACTAACATTCGCGTGAATGTATTTGTACATTTATACTATTTATTTTTTTAATAATTTCTTTCACGTTTATATTTTTCCTATATATCTTTTTAATTTATGAGAGATTTCTAAGAAAAATTGTTTTATTGTGTGTACAAGAAAAAATAAATAATATGCGCTAAAACTCACAGCCATAGCTTGCAGATCGTTTTCGTAGCTTTGACGGAGTTTGCTAGAGATCATGGACTCGGCTTTGCTCATGTTGTCGATCGATCCCTTAACCGTGATGATGCGTTCGAGATTGAAGCTATTGATGTCGTTGATACTGCTAACAGTGATCTTCGTATCGGTGTCCTGCATAATTCTTTTGATCGTGTTACCGCCCTTACCGATGATTCGACCGATGAGATTGTTGTGCGCGAGGATCTTCAGAGTGATCTCACTGTCGACAAGTAACATAATATAATGTAATTAACGTCACAATTCAATTAATAGTGAAACAATGATTCGGTAAAGCGATGTAAATTAACAATATTAAATTGTGTTTATGTATTTAAAATGATATGATTGCAAGAATATTAGTGTACTGAAACCGAATTAATAGTAAATGTTACTAGAAAGTCATAAACAGTATTAAAATAGATTTAACATAAAATATATAAAAATATAAATTATATTATTTAATTTAATATATATCTACTAGACACCAGCATTGCGATTATTATGATTCCATTTAGAATTCGGAGATTCAAAAAAGTCAAAACCAACTCGTACCCCTTGTTCGTGTTGTTGGCCTCCTGTTGCATGACTTCCAGGATCTTCTTGCAAGCATTGGTGCAGTTCTCGGGATTGCCGTAGATGGTGATAGCTTTCTCCAGAGAGCCAACGTTGTCCTTACGATGCACATCGACCCGGGCGCGCGTCATCTGCGTGATCTGCCGTATGGTGGAACCTTGTCGGCCGATTATCGCGCCCACCATGTCGGATTGGACGAGGATACGCAGCGGGAAATCCGTCTGGCGACCGGAACCCGGCAGTCCGGCGAAGGCTACGCCGCCGCTGCGTTGGCTGCGGCCTCTACGTCGGCTCTCCGCCGAGGACATCTCCACTTTCAGCGGATTGCCCTCGAACTCGTAGCCATTTAACTGGTTCACAGCCCTGCAAATAACAAGATCAATGAGTGTCTCTGCTAAATCAAGTAAATCAAGTAATCAATCCTGGATGGATTGAAATAACCGGATGTCACGAGGGTTCATTCGCGAATTCCTAAAGTCCTAACATGAATGTACCTGTATATATACATGAGGTAGGAAAGAATTTTCGCGATTCTTCGTGGTGAAGAAAGAGTGAGCAAAAGTGAGACAGCGACCTCTGCACTATGAATTTTCTAAATCGCTTGATCTTTTGAAAAACACAGCAGATAAAATATCGTGTCGATTACGTACTGTTGTACTTGCTCTTGCGTCTCATAGCTAATGAGCACGCTTTGTGTATTTGGATCCCGCGACGGCACTTTTTCGATGTTTTGGATCTGGCCGTAGTTGGAGAACAGCAGGTCCAGATCTTCTATTCGTATTTGAGCCGGTAGATTGCTTACGAGGACTTTAGCAACCCCGCTGCTACTGGAAATAGAAAATAATACACGGGATTAAGCGACATATTTCAGTGAACACGAAGAAGTAGCACAAAGGTAAACGATACTTTATATTAACACACACACATGCGCGCGTGGGCGCACTTATTTCTTAATTATACTGTCTAATAACATGATATTAATATCATTAACAGAGCGTATAACAAATATAAAAGATATTCCAATACCACATCATTTTGCGTATCCCTTTTACGTATTCCAATTCTTGAGTGAGTAGAGATTGTAAGCGAAGTAAGAGAGCGGCCATAAAGTGCCAGATTTAAACGAGACTCCGACAGAATTACACGACAGTAAGCAAGATTCCAACGGTAATCGGTAATAAACTTTGAAAGCCGAGTTATAACATTCCCCCCTGGCGGGGAGTCATCGGCTGTTTACATTACATAGCGACATTGTTGTCTTACAATATAACGAGATATATCTGTTGACGTGTCGTCACTTAATAATATTAATATCAAATTTATCAAATTGTTTTATAATTATAAAACTAATTATTATATGCAAATTACAGAATTACGATATACAAATATTATATATTTAACAATAACTAAGGAAAAAATGCGTGCTAAATAAATTAATAAAACTTCATGCGTTAAATAAAAATTAAACACAATTTTTTTTTCAGAAATCCTATAGAGATCGATCGGATATTGTCTCTTTAAGCTTCAAATATGTATCAAACAATAAGGATACTTGGTTTAATAGATTTTACATTGTCGGCCTTTCTTTGGTCTATTTACTATTTAAAAAAGCTTCCTTGAAGACTATTTGTGGAACAATACAGAATAATTTTTAATATTATATTTTTATATTATATTATAATATTATACATGTATTATAGATATTATATTATAATTTGCAATATTAAAGAGATAATTCGATAAGATTTGGAAAAATCAAATTTGGAATTCAATTAGAAATTGTAATCTTTTTATTTATACTAAAAAAAAAGAATCCAAAACCAGGGCGATTGAGAGTCAGTGTGGTAATTAGTACGCAAAGTTTAATCTTGAATTTTTATTCCAATAATCTTTGAACGGTTCGATTCACTTTGGAGTCCTCTTTAGCAATACAAACATTAAAATTTTTTCCTTTGCGTGTCTAAGGAGAAGTCACATTCAAATTTGCTGATTTGATGTTGTACATTCCTAAACACGAAAGAAAGTCGTTTTAAAACATTGGATCAAATAATGATAAGATACCATGAATTAAAATTTCAAATTAATTGTAAATTGAGAAAATTTTATTGAACATATGTTAATGATAGCTCGTGAGAGAGAAATGACATTTTATTTATAATTATTTCAAATATCTTAATATTTAATTAAAAAAACTTCAATTTGTCACAATTTCATGAAGGATCTTGTTATTCCATCAGTACATCATTAAGGATTTTAGTATATCAGATGTGTGTTATGTCTGACAAATTAGGATTCGATAAAAAGGACGAGTTTTTTGAAGACCTTGGATCAAGTATTGAAATAAATATTTTTGCGCAAGATGCGTTTGAAATCGCATGCCGTTAACGCGCTTTAAATTTCATTTTGACCGGCTTTGCGTACTTTGTTCGGGCTTGCACGAGCGTAAACTATGCTTGCGCGTTTAGGTGTATCGGCGCGGCCGCCACGACAACATGAATGAACCAAACGGCAAGTAAGAAGCGTACGCGAAGCGTGAAGAACAAAAAGGAGGGTGGAACAACCGAGGGGGCGACTCTCACTTTCGTACGTATCGATTTTTCAGCGGACCGACCCACTCATCGACGATGCCGCGGCTTTCGAGCAACCTTGAAGAAGACACGGCGAATGACCCTGTAGGATCTACTCGAGTTCGAGGATAAACTCTCTATCGCACTTGCGTGAGATAAGACTGCGAGCGATCAACCTTGTGCAACCTAGATTAGCTATGAGCATGTTTCTGACCAGTTAAATTATGAATCAGCCGTCTGGAAATATCGTCAGGTCAAAATTAAAATTCCTTAAAAATTGGTCAATAGGTATCGTACTTTCGAATATTTTATTTAAACATTTCTACATAAATTTATCATACTTTTAGCTGTTTTAATGAATATTGTAATTGTATCGTATTATATTGTATTAAGATATTAGACATGCCTATCAAGGAGATAAACATATGTTAATTAAAACTCGAGATTAATTTGTAGAAAATTTGTAATTATATATTTCTATACAATCAATTTACAAAAACAATAAGTTTCAATAACTTAAAAATTATTTATTAAAAATGACAATTCTAATAATATTTGCTTCTTCACTGAGAAAAATTTCCAGACTTTACCCATTCAAAATGTAACAAACGGATATTTCCAATAGATTTTGATCGTATATTTAGGACTATCCGATGAAATTTTAGGATTATCGGATAAAATTTTCTTAATATTTTATCGAATAGTCCTAAAATTTCATCGAACAGTCCTAAATATGTGATCAAAATCTATCGGAAATATCCGTTTGTTACATTTTGAACGGATAAAGTCTGGAAATTTTTCTCAGTGTGTTGAGATATATCCAATGGATTAGAGACTTTTTTCTCTTCATGTATTGTAAAAATAATTTATGGAGAAAGCGAAATGTGCTCGATACACGCAAGATGCACTGTTGAGTCGCGATGCACTTACATGCAACGATCATTCCGTATTAATGTTGCAATTCACGTTGAATTCATGAGTAACCGCTTATCATGAATTTATTTAATCAGCAAATTGACGATCGATAATGCTATAATGTCGATTCCTATTCACGTAATAACGCTTAAAAGAAAGTGCATGCAACTTTGTCAGATAAGAATGTAGCGATAAGAAAACTAGTGCAAAATATTAGTTCATTCATGTCTGTCCATGATTAAACGTATAAATGAACCTGAAGATCTCAAAAATAAAATATATTCTCTCTATTTTCTCAGATCATAAAAATCTTAGAAAATACATCATTTTCGTTTTTAATCACAAATAAAATTGTATATATTTGGGGAGAATTTTTCTTAATAATAATTAAATTTCTGATATAAACCTTTCAGATGTACACTATATTTACATTAAGTAATTTATTTAACTATATATTTCAACTGAGGAAAAAGTATATATGAAAATCAACAACAAATTAAGTATACATTCGTAAAATTGAAGAATAAAAAGAGGCAAGGGTAGAATAGACAAGGATGCACTAAACGCGCGGGCGCTCGTGCACGCGAGGAGGAAGAGGAGGACGGAAGAGATACAACGGATGGCAAGCAATACGAGGGTGGAAGGGGGTTGGCCTTTGTTTCGCGTACTTCCCTTTAGGGGATTTTCGGCGGTATCCATGACATAGCGCGAAGAGTGCGTGCAATGTCTGCCTCGTGGTACCCGTGGCCCACCACCCGCCGCGGAGGACTCCTCCTGTCTCTCTCCTCTTTCCCTTCAACTGCCCTCTCCCTCTCTTCAACCCTTTTGCACGCACGTGTGACTCGTTGGCGATTTCGTCGGGTCACCTTTAACGAAAGGCGGCGGGTTTTCGCGAGGCAAGGGAGACGAAAGAGGGGTGAGGAGAGAGAGAGAGGGGGGAGGGAGAGAAAGAAAAAGAGGGAGAGAGAAAGAGAGCCTTTGCGGACAGGGATGGATCGCGGCGGGTCACCCCCGTGGAAGAGCTTTTGATGTCCCAGCCTAAGACACCTTTTTTCGAGTACTCTTTTTCTTCCGTCCGTCCCACTCTCTCTCTCTCATTGCCCTCGTATTTTTTTGCCATTTAACAAGTCGATGGAGCGAGCATGGTGATCGAGGTACTGAAGAGAAAGGAGGAGAAGGGTAGGAATGAGGAATAAATAGAAAGAGAGAGAGAGAGCGTGAACAAATTGATCGAAAATTTTGTGGGTGTCACTAACCCGATGTGGATACTTTCGCGAAAGGAATGGAAGACATCTTTATCTTTAAACAATAGCATTATATTAGCATTGCAGATCAATTACTCTGTGCCGATTTCGATTAAAATCAAGAGTCCTTTAAAATTGGGGAAAATCTCTCGAGATTGTTCGAAATAAAAGGGCAGTGCATGCCCACTGATTTCTCACCAAAAAGTGAAATAAGGGGAGAAAATTGGACGGTTACGTATAAATACAGCCCTGCCTGAAGAACCGTCGACGTCGTCGACTTGCGCCGTCCGGACGCACGGCGCCAAAATCGATCTTGAAAAGGGAAAGTGCCAGCGGCATGACTTCACATACAGGCACACACGAGAAAAATCGCTGTGTGGAAATCGTTGGCCAAGGGCGTTCACATATTAAAATCCAGGAAGTCCCTGCAATGCGAGTCCTCATTTTCTGTCATTCGAATCAGAACAGGACTGATGCATCATATACAAAATGATGAATCGTAATAAAATATCTATTTAAAATATCTCTATTTTCCTCTCTATCTTCAAGGTAGAATTTAGAGATTTCTTATCTTATCAGTTGATATATTAAACTAGTATATCAATGTAAATATATTGACGGAAAGAAAAAAAGTTTAACGAGAGATACATTCTGTCAGTTGCTCGGTAATCAATTATATGTAACTTGTAAGTTAAGCGTTTCTGAGGATGCTGTAATCAGTTGACCCCATTCTTTTATATGTAACTCATAAAATCATACAATACTTTTTGGTCTGTTTAAAAAATTTGAACGGCAAATCACAATTTTTACAGAATCAAAATTGTTTTTCAAAGGGAAGGGTTGACTTTCAACTAATATATATTTAAAGACTGATGTGTTTCAGATATATATATATATATGTCTGATAAGTCTATATTATTTCAAGGAATTTGACTGATAAGTCTCTATATTTATTTCAAGGAATTTTATCTCGATTATCAGCAGAAACAGAAGGACATCGATCTAATGCGATATCATTCGAGAATCATACCACATCTAAACATATCTTAAAACTCGTTTATGTGTGTCGGAGGGTGGGAGGGTACGTCATTGCACGATTCG